AATGCATAACTTTTTTAAATGCCCAAGATCTCTATAAATGCACTTGTTCTCTAAGTGCACGTTGATAAAACTTGGTCCCCAAAACATGCACTTATAGAGGTTTTACCGTATACTGTATAAAAGTTAATGCTTACATCAGATATTTAAGAACTATGCTTATATCAGATATTTAAGAACTTATAATTTTTATATCTGAACCTAAACATGTTCATGAACTTCGAACCAAACCCGAACCAAACTTTACTCGAGTTCGGATTTGGTTCAGGTTCGAGAAATTGTGGGTTCGTGTTCAGTTCGTGTTCGAAAATAGCAAAATTCTTGGTTCGGGTCCGGGTTCGGGTTCGGGTTCGCTGAACCCGGACCGAACCAGACCCGAACATCAGAACACTATATCAGACTACTGTCTTATAATAAGATATCACCAATCTAATAACATCTTTTCGTAAAGAAATGAAAAAAAGAAAAAAATACTAATACTAATACTAATACTAAAAAAAGAAAGAAGGGAAAAAACAAGAGTAAAAATCTGATAATCACAATTATAAGCCTGTATAAGGCTAACAAAACTTACATATTACAAGATAAAAAAGCTCTGTATCTAACTCTATTCTAATAATATATCTAATCTATATAAAAAAAAACAAAAATAGCAGATTTAAACTAAATTAGACTAAACTAGACAGAGTAGTTAAAAGATATTATTAGTCTCGAAGTATTGTTTAAACAGTTTCTTCTAGTTAAGACACATCACCTAATTGTATTGTCCTTTAAACATGCTTGGTTGCTTAATCCGGACGTCTATTGATTTGTGCTTACTAAAAATAAACAATCTGTTTTGAGAGATAAACAATACTGACTGTTTTAGAAAATTACATATTGATCTTTTGAAGGAGTAAGCTAAGACATTCACTTTTTTATAAAATTTCTTCAAAAAAAGTAGTAGGCCAATGAAACTTTGTGGGTTCTTCTTTGTAAGTTTTATAGTTATATAGAGACTATCTCTAGTTTTTTTAATATATCTAGTATTGACCTAGTTGTTCTGTGTTTCCAAAATATCCTTCTGGTTTGGATGCCAAATATAATAGAGGAGTCCACCTAGCAGAGAAGTTTGACTTCTACAAAAACCATCTAAAGTAGTCCACTTCTTGGTTTTACACTTTTAATACTTCGTCAACAACACACCTACTTGCATAGGACCAAGTATATTATCACCTTTTGATGTTTCTATAATACTGACTGTAGTTCAAATTTTTGGACTTGTTGATAAAAGGATCATTGGAAAGAGTTGATGATTGCTTATTAGCAAACTGGTAAGCAATTATAATTACATTAAAATATTTAATTTACTTACTAATAATTATTAAAATTTAGATATGAGTGGAATTACAGTTGCTAATGTTAGAGAACACAATCCTCTTCACAAGCTTTGTTATAGATTTGCTTATATTAATAATGAGCTTTTTTGGTGCAAATTTTGGCATTATATCAAAAAAACTCTAATTATCATTCTTATGTATATGGTAATGTACTAAAGATAGATTCTTTATCCTATTTGTCTATTAGAGTTTTTTTCTACTTCGAAATAATATTTTTTCATCTATAACTAATTTAGAATATATAATTTTTAGTCATATTAGTTCTAAATTTTTATCTATTTTCTTGGATTTGGTAATTTTATTGATATTAATAAAAGACATCATATAGTAACTATTTTTAAACAAGCTTTAGATTTATATAGAAGTTTAAATAAATTTTCAACCAAGAATTTATTATGAATTATTTTGACAGAAAGAAATTAGATTTGTAAACATATCTTTATAGCAAATTTTAAATAAAGATATATAGTATAAAAAGCAAATTAAATCAGTTATTCATTTTATTAATTTTTTAGTTATATCAAATTTATGCTATTTATTGTTTGTGAAATTTAATACTCTTCATATTTTCTTAAATAACAAAATTTTTTTTAAAAAAATGCCAACTTTGTAGATCTTTAAAATTATAAAGTTAAGCTTTTATTCTTGCAAAATTTTAAACATTCATTAAGAGATTATAGTTTTGAATGACTTTAAATGATTTACACTATAATGATATATATATATATATTTTATAAATTAGATTTTTATTTATTGAAAATAAAATTTCTTCATAACTTATTTAGTTCTATTGAACAAATCAAATAAGTACTGTATTTTGGTACAGTATACTGAATTATTGATCAATAACAAAATAGTTAAAGTACTTTTGTAATTGCTTTTAATACTATATATGTTAAATAATTTAATTGGACAAATGAATCATTAATTATAAAGTGCAAGGTTTAAATTAGTCAAAATTAGATTAAAAATGTATTATTAATTTATTTCACCTTTATTAGTATTATCCAGGGTCCTGGTATTTGATAGATAACAGCATATATAAATTTAGAATATTTTAAGAATAGGTGGCTTCCTGTAAACATAATGCACATTATTTTTAACACAACCATGTACACGTATATTTCCCGACTACGTATTCACAAACTGCATTTATTGTTGCAGATCATAATGAAATCAGATCATTGTGAAATTTAGAGGTCTCAATTTAAAGATATAAGCTCTACCAAAATCCACCTATACTCTTTTCCTAATAATTCTAACCCTAAACCCTAACTTAACTATAAAAAAAAACCTAACTAAAAAGGTCCCAAAAATTTTTAAAAATCGTACATAAAATAAGTTAAATTTCATTATGATCGGATTTCATTATGATCTGCCACATTTATTTGCAAAAAAAATTCATTACAAATACTTTTATGCTATTTTATTTGGTCTGAAATAGCGATTACATATTAGAATTTTTGCTTAGACGATTTTTTATTATGGTAATACAGATCACTCAAAATTAGGTATGCGGTTTGTAACACCCTTCTTACAGAATCATTTCTCACGGTCGATTTTTCGCTAACGCTAACGAATAATACTTAGGATTGTTTTCTTATTAAATATGATACCGCGATAAGACAAATTCTTTGCAAGGCGAAATGATTACCTGTCGAAACTATCCCGTATAGATATTCATAGTCATCCCCTCCAAAGGCATCACTCCTTACGCTTCTTTTGTTTTTTCAAATTCGTCTGGCATGAACTCACGTGCGCGTGAAGATTCTTCACGCCGATTACTTTCGCCAAGAAAAATTCTCGATTATATGTGGACATTAACAATCCGAACATTGTAATAAAATCCTGAAATACACATGCAAAAATAAACGCGATTATATATGCGAAATCGGGCTAACTTTATTTCAAAATTTTATATGTGGCTAGGTGCTGAGAAAAGGGACGAAATTGACAATTTTTTCAAGTGTTTTTTTTCATAAATCAATTTAGAATAAGATTAGGATCATTTTTTACTTAAAACACAAAGGTAGTTGTATTAATAAAATATTACAGTATAACTCATTAAAGTTTGCATTTTCTTATAGTTTATAAGATTTATAATACAAAAATTGATTTTCTGAAGATCTTTTGTTTTGTCAATTTCGCCCCTTTTCCCAGCACCTAGCCCATGTATTACGTATATACAATTAGCTGGCTAATTTTATTCGTCCGTAACCGAGGATGTTTCGTACCTAAATATAATAGTATACCCTTTTTTATTTTTCAATGTAAACCATACCACATACGTATACACAAGTCCGGGTAAACTTTATTAGCCACAGTATCATATGAGGTATTTAGTTAACTAAAAAATTCTGTAATATTTATCAAAAATTAAAATGCTAGCAACATCTTTCATTAATCGGTACGTTTTGATTGTTTCTTTGGGGTCATCTTTGTGAAGTTATCTCCATCATCAGATGATTCTAGCGTTGTATGATTTTCATATCGACTTTCTAAGTTGTTCCATACTTCATTTGCTGAGGTAACCCTTTCTTTAAACGCCCACATCATCCGCAGAACGAAGGCAAGTTTTGTGATATCATTGTTGGAAATCTTTACAGACCCGATTTTTCGAACTATGTAGAAGGGCTTAATGTACTCCATCTCAAACAAATCTTGTGTGTATCCATAACACTGTGAGCCATATACGCACAAACCCTCTTTGGGTATCTTGTAACCTAATTCGCGCTTTTCTTTCTTAGATATATGGAGCATATCTCTCATTTCTCGAAGCAATTTATAAAGATCTTCAGCTGTTTTCCGCCTATTTTGATCTTGCAGTGCATAAGAAATTTCCATAACAAAGCATTCACGCCCATCATCTGATAATCCCGTTCCATCTCCTTTGTGCCCTGTTGCAACTTTTTGGAGAGAGAGAATATCACGGCCACTATCTTTTCTTAATGCCGTTGAATCTATCTCGACCTCTCCCCATGTATATTCTATACCTCCACTTCGTATTGCTTTCCCTGTTATAAAACTCATTATTGTACTCCACATGGCCTCTGTAGTTGAGGGATGTGAGATCACGCCTCTTTTACTTGTGAATTCGCTAATAAAGATATGGATAACTAGTAATGCATACTGCTCAAACAAGGTGATCTCGTCTTCACCTATAACTGTCCACAATCGCGCAAATTTCTGCAGCAAAGACTGCTTATCGTCTTCTGTCATTTGAAAAAAAGGGTTAAGTCTCTCCAATAAACTTTCTTCCGCGAGTTGTAGTTTTTGGCCTCGGATTTGCTCCCAGCTTTCTTTCAAACACATAGATTTGAGTATGTCGTTTTGGAAAGTTACCACGATGCTATCATTCTCCACACTCCATTGATGCAAGTCAATTTTAAGCAAATACTTATTCCACACATCGGTGAAATTCTCACCAGATTTAAGGATACACGGCAATGTTTGCTGTGGGTATTCTGTCATTACTAGATCATGTGAAACTTGCGTAGATGGACCTGAAAAGAATTCATCTATGGTATCCTTGTCATTATTGGATGATTTTTTACCCGATATCGGAAGAGGATTATTGTCGAGAAAGAATTGGTTTTTAGGAGAGACAGAAGATACATTTTCATCTGATTTCGAAAAAAGAATGTATTCGGTATCATCATCTTCTTTACTATCCTGTTCATATTGCATTGAGTAATATATTAGAATTGTTAGCACAGCAACAATAAAACCCAATGATAATTATCACCTTATTAGTTCTGGTACGTTTTGCTGTTCTTTCGTTGTCATGATCAAGAAACTTCTTCGTTATGCTGGTGGTGGTTGACTTGGCATATTGTTGGATTTGTTCTGTCGCAACTGTGGCAACGGTTATGTACTGGTTAGTCTGTGTACGAAAAATGAATCAAAAGTGAATGTTTTGGCTTATCACGTTAGATTATGGGTGAAATGAATGAAGTACCTGCAACTTCTGAACCTTCGCATTTGCTTTTTCTTCTCGCAAATTGACCTTATCTTCAATCAACTTTTTCTTCAATATAAGATTTTGTCTTTCATCTTGAAGTTTCCAAAAATACTTTATCGCTGATGACCGTTTAGATTCCTATTAGTGATGATAAAACAGAAGTTCTAAGTACCTGAACTTCGTTTGATAATTTATCCTATTCACATGCAAACAAGATTAGGAGACATCACGAACAAACAAGCACCCAGATTGTGTTATTCAATCGTTGAATATCTATCTTTCGCGAGTACCATGTGTCCACAAAGTCCATTAAGTATAGCTCACCAACAGACAAGCAGTCGTTCCCACTACAAACACGACGGTTTGCAGAGTAGTTGGTGTACTCAACGGTACGAAGAGTCACAAGGTAATTCGTGGAGCAAACTCACCAACAGACATGACAGTCGTTCCCACTACGAACACGACGGTTTGAAGGGTAGTTGGTGTACTCATGTTCCCGATCCAATAAAATAATACATTTGACTTTCCTTGAAAGAAATTTTCCATTTTGATACTTGTTGGCCAAATTCTGATGCTTCGGCGTAAAATCTGCTGATGGTAATTAATTCTTTATTATACCGATCGTACTCAATTTTCGATTCTTCTAAGTCGCCAGCCGAAAGTCGAAAATCTAAAAATTTCTTGAGCGAAGGCTCGTCAATGCTCTCCCAAAAGGCTACATAATCACAAATGATAGGTTATGTTATAAAGCATTGTCATAAGAAAACATATGTACAGTTTGCCTTACCAGGATATTTCAAAGCGTCAATGCACTCAGAAAGCAAGTGCATGATATTTCTACTCAAATGAATTCGTGAAAAATATTTTGGAGAATCGTTACTTTATAAAATTTATTTTGTCGCACAGATTAGAGTACGCGTACATCTATGAAATCACGCTTTTTATCCAATCAGCGTCCGTCACATCGAATTGACATGAACGATCAGTGTGTAACGTTAAAATTAAAAATTGGACGTTTTTTTTAAAAAATCGTTTTTATCTTGAAATTTCGCTTATGAAACTATTTTCTGCGTTTTAACAAAAAAAATTCCTTGCGAAATTTTAGTATAGGTTTTTTTTTACAGCCTTGCCCTTATCCTAATACTAACCCTAACCCTAACACTAATTGACGGTATTTTTTTTTTAAAAAACAATATAAATAACGAAATCATATTAGCAATGATGATCATTTCCATTTTGGGGGACGTCTAAAGCGGGTAAAATCACGTGATCTTATATTTAATAATTTTCTCAATTAAGTTTAAGGCTAGAGTCATCTTATATTAAGGTTAGGTTAGGTTTTAGGTTGTTATATATAAAAAAATTGCCTTCCCAGCATTTTTACTTAACCTATCTGAGATAGGTTTAGACTGCTGTTTTTTTTTTATTTTTTGAGTTTTTCGGTTTTGTTTCTTGCTTTGCTTTGTCAATGATTATCAAAATTCTATAATTTGATTGGCCATGATCATATGAAATTGCTCTGCTTTAGATGACCCTATTTTGGGCAGTAGGTATATAGATATATTCATTAGATAGGGTTGTTAATGGAGTACTCCAAGCTATAATAAAACATATAAACCACTCCAGTTTAAAATTGGAGTGGTTTGTATGTTTTATTATAGCTTGGAGTATTCTATTAACAACCCTATCATTAGAGTATCTTAAATTATACACATTCTTTTTTTTAACTATTATAAGAAAGGGTCAAGTATTTTGGTGCAGGGTGTATTATGGTAGCGCGCTTATGTTTTTTGGCAATTTCTTGTAATACAATAATTCAAATTGAATAATTTTAGCATCATTCAATTTTTTTTTTTTTTTTTTTTTTTTTTTTTTTTTTTTTT